TGCACGAGGGACCTTCTGAGTTCTTAAAATCTGCCTTTGAAGTCTCCCAAAGTAGTCGATGCGATGCAGCTTTCTGACTAAGAAGCTTACGCCCAACCGTCGTCAACTTTCCATAGAGTAGTTGCCAACCACACACTTCACGCATTTCCTGTGCAACAGGCTTTCGCCTGGCAATTTAGCCAACCTGCATTGGCTGCGTCCTGCCTCCTGCCTCCTGCCTCATGCGTCCTGTGGGGTGGTTGTCTTCGTTAAGTATTGAGTTAATAGCATTTCCTAAATCGTTTTGCTTTCTCAAGGTAAATGTTTTGAAAGCTTTTTAAGTTTCTACAATATTTCTTTTGAAGTTTCTCAAAGTGCTCGTTGGGCGGATGATGTAGTCATACTCAAGTCCGGAAACTGTTCGTTAGTAAGCTAAGCAGCTCTCAGACTCGCCTTTAATGTCAAGGACACGTCCAAGTTACGCACCATTGAAAGGACATCATAGACATCATTCGGATCGCAACTTTAATTTTCGCTTTTCATTTGGGGAACAAGTCCGGTCTTTTTTCGCGTCCTTGCAATATTTCTCTTAAGTCTCTCTCGATGTATCTCGAAGTAAATCGTATTCGAAGTATGTATTCTTCCTCTCACATCCTGACTCTGCCGATGAGTGGCATCATGTCCACTAACAAAATGTCTTTCGATGAGGCGATTATCCATAAGAGCCTTACTATTTGCCTCATTTTTACCTATAGGTCTAAGGTAGAAGTACGACAAGCGTAACATCCGAAATTTGCTGGCAAAAAGAATGAAAAGAATTATTCAAATGACAATTAATGGTAATGCAAATTTGTTATCCTTTTCTAATGAGAACAAATTACATCTAACACAAATTTACAAAATCTATTCAGTGTTTACCCAAGTAATGTTTGTTGCATATTAAGCACTCTCTAGGATATATGCAACATGCTTTAAATTCATCAGAAGGCTTCACCGCGCATAAATAATGCTTGATAACTAATATTTGGGGGAGTTGGGAGGACTTGTGGCGTTGCCAGGATACGAGAGACTATTGCACTCCTTTTGGCTCAGCTCATCTTTCACATTGCGAGACGAATTCCACAATAATTAGTGAACCGTGTCGAATGTCCCACTTAATTAGATGCACATGTGCCTTCGCAAAGAATAAGGTGGGATTGGGGTTTTGGGAGCAGGGTGTTGGGTGTAGGGTGTTGTTACTGTGGCAACAGTGTGCACAGTTGGAGCTGCTGTTCTCTCAGCATATCATTTAATTGTATCTCGTCGAAATGCAATTCAATAGCAAATGCAATTCAATAGTTTAGATAAAATATTGCGAAACGGACAGCTTTGAATTTGCGTCAATAAACTCATTTATGTAACATATGTATATGTATGTGTTATAAAGCGCTTTTGGAATTGCCATAAAATGAATTATTAGTCTACTTTCTTTGTCTTTGGTATTTATTCATTCAAGACTTAAGTTGGGCCCAAGATATGTATATGTACCAACGTCTTAAGCCGTCAATTAACCTCATATGTTTCAAAACGACATATCTCCATGATCTCCGGGATTCAAGAATATATGTCGTTTCAAAACGACATATCTCCATGATCTCCGGGATTCAAGAAGGTATGTCGTTTCAAAACGACATATCTCCATGATCTCTGGGATTCAAGAAGGTATGTCGTTTCAAAACGACATATCTCCATGATCTCTGGGATTCAAGAAGGTATGTCGTTTCAAAGCGACATATCTCCATGATCTCCGGGATTCAAGAAGATATGTCGTTTCAAAACGACATATCTCCATGATTTTCTGGATTCAAGAAGGTATGTCGTTTCAAAACGACCAATCTCAATGATCTCTGGGATTCAAGAAGATATGTCGTTTCAAAACGACATATGTACCTCCGCACGTCGTTATCTGATATCGCAAATGCGAGACTTTACCCGACATAGCTCTTGCAAATACATCGGGAACCGATAGCAATATGAATCATAAGTATGTCGTTTGTTTGTCAATGTTTCAATTACGACTGTCGCAAGAAATATGTTTAAAAACCCCTTAAAAGATGTCGCAAAAGGCTCTCATGAAATATGATTTGCGAAACTCTTTTTGTTCCATGCCCATTTTGTTCCCATAAAAATGTTTGTTGCTGTTTTTTTTTAAATATGTATTTTAATTCAAATTGTTTTTTAAAAATAAATAACATTTAATTTAACTTAAAATTAAAAGGCATTTTTAAAGCAATCTTATAATTATAAAAAAGTGAATACATAATATAAAATAATTTTATTTACAACTATTTAAAACAAAACCTAATGTGTTTTAAATTTTTGTATATTTATTTAAATATATTCTGAAAGGGAATAGGGAATCTCTATTAAAATCCAAACAATGTCAACGGTATCCCAGTAATTATTTTACTGTACACATACATGCACTATAAATAATTTTCGAAGATCTAATTGACATCAATGAGCGCACTGAGAGCGTACCCAAGCAACGTTCAAAGTGAGAGCGAAACAAAAAGTGAAACAGAGCGGCGATCTCGCTCTTTCGCACAAGTCTCCGAATGGCTTCGAGCGAATTCGAACACAAAGTCCGAACGCAGCTACCTTTGTTCGCACTTGCAGCTGTCTGTCACTCAGTCTGTCTCGACTTCTCGCTGAGTAGAGACCAACAAATTTTCTTTAGATTTATGTTAGCTGATTTTCGATTTTTTTTATGACTGTATTTTTGTTTTGTCTGCCTGCGCTCCTCATGATAAGCTTTCAGGCAGTAGGTTTGAATGTATTAAATGCTTTTTGAATTTGGAAACAAATATTTCTCACAGACAAAGACATGCTTATCGGGTGTAAATCCAAGAAAAGCAATTAAAATTTATTATCTTCATGGTTGGAGATTGACTGTCATTTAAGGCATCATTTATTGTTTGTGCTATGCAGATTTAATTTTGCAGCATTTCTGTTTTTCTTGTTGATGTGTGAGCTGATGTCTGTGTGTTCGTGGTTGATGCGATTGATTAAATATCCATGAGGTGGCAGGTGAGTCTTTCCGGCAACCTCCAATGCGATTGCCAAACACATGCTTCATGCATTTCCGGTGCAGCATTGCAACATTTGATTGCATTTGGTATAAACTGCTGAATATAATTCCATTTTTAAGTCCTCCCTTTTAACATGAGATCATGGTGTCATCAATGAAAGGACATCTTAGATGGTATCCGTACTTATTGGATGGATAGTTCATAGTAGCCTTAAGACTGAGGGACTCGCCTGCATAGAAAATACAAAAATATATAAGAAATAGTTCGACTTTCTGATTAGGAATATTATGGGGTTGTACTTACAGAGAGTTGGCCCGGGCAAGCCTCGTAATACCCGGTGGTATTTGTATATTTTTGTAGTAAAATAAATTGCTTTGAAAGTTGCATTATGTTGTGCTGGAACCGCTTTGCAGCTACTCCTGGTGCAATTCCTAATAGGCGCAGCTGTCCAAAATGCCAAAAGCGAATTTCTGAATTGCTCAACGAAAGTTGCATTCGGATTTGCGATCTGGATTTCGTTGTGTTGTAGTTCGCATACTCTGTTCACATTGTAAAAAGGGTATATTAGTTATTTATATATTTTCTATTATTATAAGAACTTAACTTAAATTTATATGAATATTTACGGTACTACTTATACTACTGTTAACTCTTACTTATTTCTTAATAAATTTGCTGGTTAGTGAAGGCTTGCACTGCGCAGGAGTATGGCGCAGTCGTGTATGCCCGACAGCAGCATACTTGTTGTTGTTTGCGCTGCTTCAAAGTTTTTGGCCAAATGCAGCACAAAATTGTTTAAGTAAACTTTTAAGTTGCAAGTCCGCCGCCAGCTGGCAGCCAACAGCCGCCGACCAGTCGTTGTCCGGTGTCTCAAGTCTTCTAGACCAATCCCCCTCCCCCGTCCACCTTCGTTTCTCGTAATTAAGTTGCACAAAAGTTGGCTGCAAATTGTTGTTGCAGCTGACAGACATTTCTGCTGCTTGACCATTTGCATTGCCCGGCGCCGCCAAGCCCCGCCCAATCGGCCGCCCTCCATTCAAAGTGCACGTCATTTGCATAGGCCAGGCGGCCGCCCCCTAGGGGGTGGCCATTGTTCGAATGCTGATTAAAATATAACCGGGCACTAATTAATCCTAATAGAGAATGGTTCGACCAGCGATTCGTGTTGCAATATTGATGTGCAAGCCCTCAAAAGGAATACCAACTCAGATTATGCAGATACTACGCCAATTCAATTTGCATGAACATCAGCATGAAAATTATTAACAAGCTATAACAAAATAATCCTTTGACGATTGACTGCAGGTTTTGTCCTCGAAGTGTAATTCTGTAACAGGAATATTCTCATATATCGATAACTCGTCTGATTTCCATTTTGTATCGATAAAAATCGATTTTGAGCGTTCGTTTTCGGAAGGAAACTCGAAGACCATAAAAGCTAGTTAAACCAAATTTGAAATGTAGGTTCTCCTATAGCATATACAGTTTGGAAATATTTTAATTCAATTTTTAGGGTCAGAGTGCTGCTAACTCACACAATCGGACACCGAAGCTATTCAAGAATACATTTATCCCGATCAAAATTATGACAATGCCTGCTCTGTCTCTTACAGACATTTGCACAAAACCCATATATCAGACGGTCCCGAAGTAATAGCTAAAATTGGTTTTATCTCTCGGAAAACGTTACAAATTGCATAGGAAAATTGAAATGTCCACTGCGAGCGTAGAGAAAAACATGCCATGTGTCAGATAATTGAGGTAACTGACAAATAGGCAAACTTGCGAGAGAGAGAGAGAGAGAGAGAGAAAGATATTGAGAGGCGGTGACTGATGCACAGCAGAGTTGCCAAGTCAGCTGTTTTCTAGCTAAAACAATTGAGATTTGCAGTTGCCAGCAATGCTGGCTTTTTGGCTTTTTTAGCTATTGTTAAAAAATGTTTTGCTAATTTTAAAAATATGGCAACTCCATGACAATCCAGAAAGCAAAAACTTATCAGACTTGGAAGCACAACGAAGAACAGAATCTAGACATGTTTTGGATGCATTGCCCAAACAAGTAAGTCAACCCTTGCAAACCACTTAGAAGGTGGCAACTCTGCGATTTCGTGTCTCAGTTGAATTTAGCCGTTTACTGTTCGCATTTAGATTTAGCTTCTCTCTGGAAGCGATAGCTGGCAACACTGTTGCACACAGAATTACCAATTAGGCAGTGTCAAATTTGTGAGACAGCTGGAATGTGAAGGACCGTTCGCTCTGGGGCCAAGACCATTTCCATTGCTATGGTTGCGCCCCCCTGTCGCTTTTTCTGTCACCCTCTCTCCGCCTCTGTGACACTTTGCGCCTGGCATGTCTGGAAGCTCCATACCAATTAGCTTATGGGTAGGCCAGTGCATCCTTTTGATTTTCTGCCTCACAAGAAAATTTTTGAATCACATCATCATTTGAGTTGAGCCTGGGCCTGCAAACAATAGAAAACACACACACACACACATATATATATATATATTTAAAAAAAAAATTAATGAAAATACTTCCAGACTCGAAAGACAGTTACGGAATTCACTGGATATTCAAATTTTTGGTCAACTTTTTTGTGCTGGCAACAGGATGCTCTCGTATATCGATGCGCAGGACTTTGAGGATAGGGGCATGCGACACGCCTTCAATTTCACAAATACCAGACGGTAAGATCCCAACCAACTCTGGCAACGCTACTCCATTTATTCCAATCTTTGTGCCTTCGCAGCAATGCCCAGATGCTGGCCAGCGGCTTTAAGCCGCCTTTGGCTGTGCGCACGGGCACCTCCATAGTGGGCATTGTTTACCAGAACGGCGTCATTCTGGGCGCCGATACGCGCGCCACCGAGGGACCCATTGTCTCGGACAAGAACTGCTCGAAGATACATCGCCTGCAGGACCACATCTTGTAAGTCGACAGCGAACAGCTGGCCTGTTTATGAATCTATTACACTATCCATTATATTCTTCCATTCATCTCTCTATTAATACATCCATTCCATTCAAACAGCTTTCCATGCTTGCATCCGTACACGTTGCCATCAATTAATCTATGCATCTGTTTCATCAATAAGATTTCATTTATTCAACCCAGCATTCATACCCCTTCCCAGTCTTTCTTCTATGCATGTGTTCTATTCATTCATTCTTTTATCCATACATTCATTTCATTCCATTCATCCAGGTGGCTAAGATTCCATTAGTCCATCCAGGTTGATTAGAATCCATCCGCCCTGTGTCTATTCATCTATCCATGACTGCCCCAAGCTCTCGATTCATCCATCCGAGTTTTCATTCAATTTATATATATTTATCGATCCATCCATTCTGCATCTTTCTTTGCATTCATTCCTGCTTCCATGTATGCATTCCATCTATTATCCATTCAACCAGATTGATTACAATTCGTCTATGAATCTATCCATTCTTTCATCTATCTACGTAGCTGCTGTGGCGCCGGCACTGCCGCTGATACGGAGCAGATGACGCTGATGACCTCCGCCGAGCTGGATCTGCACGGGCTGAACACGGATCGTCAGGTGCCGGTGGTCTGTGCCAGCATGATGTTGCGGCGTACGCTCTTTCGCTACCAGGGCCACATTAGTGCAGCTCTTGTCATGGGCGGCGTGGACAAGTATGGGCCGCATGTGAACTGCATTCATCCGTACGGCTCCATTGATAAGTTACCTTATGCCGCCATGGGCTCCGGCACACTGGCCGCCATGGCTGTGCTGGAGCGAGGCTGGAGTCCCAGCCTCGATCTGGACCAGGGCAAGCAGCTGGTGCGTGAAGCTATTAGTGCCGGAGTTTTCAACGATCTGGGCTCCGGTTCCAATATCGATCTGTGCGTGATCACGCCCAACGGAGCCCAACATCTGCGCACCGAGACCATTGCCAGCGAGCGGGGCGAACGGCTCGGCAAGTACGCGATCCTGCCCAACACGACCCTGGTGAAGAGCATCTCGGTGCAGGACATTGACATCACCGATGAGCGCGTCTATCGACCCTCCGTTTCCGTCTCGCAGGCAGCCTCGCTCAGCACGTCCGAGTTCCAGTCGGAACCGCCAACGGACACAGAACAACCCCCGCCGGATAATCCATAAATCGCATGCATATATATTTTACGTTATCTACAGACAGACTTGGCCATAACTATCGTTCGTTTTTCTACTCTTTAATAATTATTTATCCAAATTGGCGTGCTTAATAACAATTAGACTATCCCCGCTCGGCTCTTAAATTGTAGACATGTGTAGGTACCCAAAGTAGCCCATAGATGGCGCCATGTGGCTTCATTTTGAACTCGTTTTATATAAAGATTGCATTTAGTCTGTTTGTTATTATTGCCCAATCTGACTTAATGGAATTTCAGCTTTAACCCGAACTGCAATAATTTTTTAAAAATAATTACTAGAAACCCTTAATGAAGTGTGCTAGTCGACTAAGAGATACCCTTTAGCACAACACAAGCACCGCGATTATGTGTTACAGATAGACACATCATCTGCCAGGATGTATTTAACACTTAAGTTCTATTGATTTAGGTGTTCTTTCTTACCTGTCAATTACAGGTCTCTGCATTGTTGGCATAGGCTCTGCTGAATGTCTCCATTAAATCTATTCGCCATGAAGCTCACCTCTTCGTGGGAATGTTACACAAGATTCTGTGATAGATTTTGCTACAATAGAAAATGCTCAGCAATGTTTTGAGTATTATGCCTCGAAGTCGGCCAGATCGGACCACAATATCCTTTAGCTAAGTATACTGTTCGAACAATGAGTTTAAGTATGGCCAATTTTGTATATACATATAATTGCGGCAGAAACAAAACTCGCGCGTAATGCTATAGTTTCAGGGTATTTACAGGGTATTAACTTGTCGATCACAGCCGTTTGGCTGCCTTCTAATTGACAATCTGGCTACATTAATGACAGAGCCTGCCAAATGACAGAGGGTAGGGTGATTCGGTGGAGCGGTGCGAACTTTACTGGAATTTTCTCGGACAAGCGACAATGGCAGCTGGACACACACACACACACACACACACACACACACACACACACACACAGAGTCACACACACACAGGTATATGTTTATTTAGCCATTTGCTGTCATGTAGAAGCCAATTTGGCAACATAATAAATTTAAGCTCTAACTGAATTTGCGCTCAAACTGATTATTTGTGTACAAATAAATGGCAGCAGGTGGCTCTCGAGTGTCCTCGAATTAATTGAATCCGAGTATGCTGGTTAAGTGGATCCGAGGTGTGGGTCTGGTTTGTCTGCCTGACTGTAACGGATGTCCTTTATCGCCCTTCCACCCCAACGCTTGGTCCTTGCTGCTGCAGGGAGAATGCGTCGAGTGCAATTTAATTCAAATCGTGCGTAGCCAAGGGCAACGGTTACGGTTGCGTTGTCGACGACACATCCTGCTGCTCCACAGTCAGCCTACAGCTCCAGGATTGGCTCCGGTTTGGCTCCGTTGGGAATACGCCCCTCTGGCCCTTGGAGCTGCCACTTTACAGCCGGTTCTTTATGGGGTCACACACGCACACATATCCTTTAAGTTGTCGCATGCAAATCGAACGCCAGCCAGGGCCCGGCGCCGGGCTCAGCTCCAGCTGCATTCCTTGAGTGTCACACAAGGGGGAAGAGAAAGAAATGGAATCAAAGGCCGAGCCGAGAAACCAACCAAATTTGTCGCCTCCGATCGGAGGCAAAATGTGCCGCCGGATATTGACAGGCCGGCCATTAAAAATGACAAAAGGCGACAAAAGGGACAGAGCCCAAGACAAAATAAAGGGTTACCTTGCCAATCCGAACTTGAAATACTCTCGCGTAACTCTGGCTTCCAAGTGTTTTTCTTTGTTGTCGAGCGAGGAGGAGGACATATGTGATGCGGATGTACGGGAGACTTGTAAAGCGTCTAGAATTCATACATCTTGCAAAGTGCAATTCATTTAGTTATTATTTATATAATAACTTAATGAGATTTAGCTTAAGCCGCACATAGGAAAGGGCCAAAGCAATATCTCGGGTAATACCTCCGCGCGGAGATATGACGTTCCAAAACGACATAACTCCCCGCGCGATTTCGACTGCCTCACAACCATTTGCTTAGCTGAAATATTCCCAAATGGAACCCATTGTGAAAAAGTATAACAAATATTGTTGTTGTTTTTGGTTTTCTTTCGATTTATTCAGATATATTTTCTTGTTTAACCTACAAATTGTTATCATAATCGTAGAGCTTCGCTTAAACAATGTGTCTATAGATGTTGCGCCCGGGACGAGTGGGGGACCGGGTCTGGCGTCTCGGGCGCCTGTTCCTCCAAGCTCAGAAGCAGAACCAGTTCACAGAAAGGTTCAAATGAATCAGCGGGCCAGGAACAGCTGCAGATGTGGCTGGTGCTCAGATGTTCACAGCAATGTGGTGCCATGCAATACGCTATCTGAGACATACTCAGGAAACTGCAGCAAACTCGGGTAACTCGTGTCTGAGTGTGCGCAAGCCCTGTAGAGAAGAAAAACCAAGAAAAATGTATTACCTTATATAGGGATAGAATGATGGTAGCATCAGTTGGCTTTCTAACAAATTAAAAATCGATGGGCTGAAAAAGTTTTTGAACAAAGAACGACATTTTTTAATGATTTTTTTTTATATCTCGGGTAATAGCTCCGCGCGGAGATATGACGTTCCAAAACGACATAACTCCCCGCGACATAACCTCCGCGCGGAGATATGACGTTCCAAAACGACATAACTCCCCGCGCAAAAAACTGAAAATCCAAATTTTGACCAAAATCGACCAAAAGCAATATCTCGGGTAATACCTCCGCGCGGAGATATGACGTTCCAAAACGACATAACTCCCCGCGCAAAAGACTGAAAATCCAAATTTTGACCAAAATCGACCAAAAAGCTTGGGCTTAGTCTAGATAGCTTGAATACAAGTAGATTAGTTTGGACAAAGTCAGCTACGATATATCCGATCCGTTTCTGAAATATGTTCTTCCAGCCCGGAAATCAGATTTATGCCAGGCATAATGACGATAGCTTTAAAACTGAGACAGTCGCCTGCTTCGGCTCAGCTGAAGACTGAAGTATTCTCCCACATGTAATGTCAGGATGGGTCAGGTTGGGTTGGGTAAGCTCTCAGGGTCTTACGCACAGTGTGTCAAAAGTCAAGTTCCTCCATAAAATTAAATGCAGCATTTTTATATTTGATTAATGTATGTATTCCAATTTGCCAAACTGTTTGTAACTTTATGAGAATATTTATTTGCATGCCTCTCAGCACTGTGGCACGCATTAAAATGTTGCGCACGCCGTTTGCCTCGGTCGTGTGGATGTTGCGGATGAGGCTCATGTTTGTCGCGGTCCTCGGACGGGGCGACACGGCACGTGATCTGGCATACGGACAAGCCCACGGACGGACGGATGGCCGGACATCCGAATGGTCGACTAAGTTGAGATAAGCTGCAAAATGTACATACATATATAAATACAAGGGCTGTTCATAAAATTTCGTGTAATCGTGTGCAGTCAGCTCTCAGCATACAGAAGCTTTTTGCAAAGGTTCCATTTTTCATTTATGCTTTTATCGCTTTGTTCGTTAACGTTTTACAGGCAGCTTATTCGGAATGCCGCCGTTCAATTTAAGTTAAGTCAGGCCTCTTGAAAAAAACACTTCCTTGTTTATTCCTAACCATTCTTTGGGCAACTCTAAATAAATATCTTCTGGTTTCCTCCTTCTCCATTTGCCTTGAACATTTCACTGGCCATTTTGTTGAAGTTTAGGATTTTCGTGTTTTTTTTTTTTTGTCCCTTCCTAGCCAACATCTTGTAATCCCTAGATATATCCTTTAGCCGAAAAAAATAGTCGCGCATGCTCTACGAGCTGCTGCATATCAAAAAGCTACCTGCGATTGGGTGGTTATTTATCGTGCCGATTGGAAGTGCGAGAGCCTGCCTCGTGTCCTGGCTTAGCCTTTGTCACACACCACCTCATCCGGCTATTGTGCCAACTTGTTGGGCGAACTCTTTGAAACTCGAGCGCTGTTGCAAGTTTTTGTTCAGCAGGGAACCACGTGCCGCCCCGGCCAGGAGCGAAAGCTGTGCTTGAGCCCCTCCTTTGCAAATGGCCGTAGAAGGGTATATTGTTTTTGTGAAATCACATGTGACAGGCAGAAGATAGCACCTGCGACTACTTGGAGTCCGTGTCGGCACGATAAGCTGAATCGATGCAGGTCTGCCCGACTAGTCCACTTTTGTCAAAATCTCGCCCCATTTCTATTGCATTTTGTGTACTATAACTTTGCACGAAACGTTTATAAGGATCGGACCAAGAGGCGAGTCTTCTACAGGGGCTGGACTTACAGGCCATCTGGTAGTCAGGCAGAGCCGACAGTTACTTTTGTTACTTTTGCCCGAGCCGCTTGTTTGTCTTTGGCGAACAAAGAAAAAAGAGGTAATCAGGCTGCCATTTAGCTGGCGCTGCCGGTGGCAACCAGCAGCAGCAGGACAGCAAGGACAATGGAGCACGCGCACCAGGAGCCAGGAGCTACGACAGGACAGGACAGGGCAGAACAGGGCTATCGCACACGGTCTGCCCGTACGTGAATTGTGTAATGCGAGCCACGTCTCTCGACGTGCTTCACAGCCTTAAACAGCGCACAGCCATATGTCGTCCGGCGGCGCCATATACCTCCACCCTACCACCCCACACACACACACACACACACACCTGGCAGTTGTTGTCGCTGCCGTGATTGTCCCTGCAGGACTCCCAACACATAATGATTTAACAGAACACAAGGCGCGCGCCACTTCATTATCGACAACACTTGCGCCTAATTAGCACCGCACACGCGTCGTATACGCAATGAGTAATTGCCGGTTACCTTGGCTCCACACACACCACACACACGCCACACACAGACACACACACAGGAGCAGGTGCTGTGAAGCAACCACAGACAGAACGAACCAACCGCACAGCAATACGCATCTGCATGATTTCAAATCGTCTGCGGTCAGTTGGCAGCTGATGTTGCGGCTCGCTTTATCAATGCGGTGCTTGCGGTCAGCCAGTGGGTGGTTGGGTGTTTTCGTGGGTGGTTGGGTGGTGCAGCTACATCTGCACTTAGTCCAGTTGGCCGGCGGGCCAACCAAACGTTTAGTTGAAACGAACACCTGAGCACTGTTTCTCCCGCAAATGGAAGCTCATAGTTTCAGCTTGTATTTCTGTGACCCCAATCAATTAGCTCAATCGGGTATGTCCCACTAAGGCGTCACGCTGAACAATCATAGTAAATCAATTTCGACTGACGCTCACAT